AGCACATTCAGCTAATTTTTTTGTAATTTAAGTAAAGATGGGGTTTCATCACATTGTCCAGGCTGATGTGGAACTCCTGACTGCAGGTGATCCACCCATCTCAGCTTCCCAAAGTGGTGGGATCACAGGCCTGTGAGCCACCACCCTTGGCTAAGTATTTGCATTTCTAAAAGGTTGTTAGAGATGATGATGCTTTAACACAAAGACCTGAATTTCCTGAGGACATGATGCTGATGCTTAGTCCTGGCTGAGACCTCCCCAACCAAAACCTCCCTCAGTCAATCATTCTTTCTGTTTGTTTTCCTGGTGGTTGCCTTCCCTGCCAGGCTTTCTTCTCCTTTGGGATTGGCAGCTGATTGCAGTGCCTGGCTGTCTCAGTTTAGGGGGAAGTGGCCGTAAGGAGGAAACTGTAGAGAGGATTGATAAAAACAACCACAGGGATTTACTGAGCCTGTGGTCAGAATATTAAGAGGAAGAGAAACCAAATTCAACTAAGCAGAACAAAAAGAAAAGAGTGCACTTATGAATCAAGGGGCTGAAATCTGAGAGTATGTAAAATGGAACCGTTTGAGTTTATAGCATTTATCTGCCTTCCCAAAGTGGGTCTATAAACACTAGTCCTCACTGGAAGCAGAGACTAGACTCTTCTAGGCTTTTAATGATAATAATGATAAAGACTAAATTTATATGACAGGTTCTGTGTTTAGCATTATTTATGGATTTTCTCATTTAATCTTCACAACAACATTATCAGGTGAGTACTAATGCAATCTTCATTTCACAGATGAGACAACAGAACTTAAAAAGGATGAGTAGGCAGGGCGCAGTGGCTCACACCTGTGATCCCAGCAATTTGAGAGGCTGAGGCAGGCAGATCACTTGAGGTCAGGAGCTCAAGACCAGCCTGGCCAGCAGGGTGAAACCCCGTCTCTACCAAAAATACAAAAAAATTTTAGCTGGGCGTGGTGGCGGGTGCCTGTAATCCCAGCTACTCGGGAGGCGGAGGCTGGAGAATCACTTGAATCCAGGAGGCGGAGGTTGCGGTGAGCTGAGATCATGACGCTGCACTCCATCCTGGGTGACAGAGTAAGAATCTGTCAAAAAAAAAGAAAAGAAGAAAGAAAGAAAGAAGGAAAGAAAGAAGGAAAGAAAGAAAGAAGGAAGGAAGGAAGGAAGGAAGGAAGGAAGGAAGGAAGGAAGGAAAGATGAATAATGTATCCAAGATTGCACAGCTGTTAAGAGTTGAGATGAGGCTTTTAATCTCGGTCTATCTCCAGGCGTTTTCATCATGGGTTCTCATGATTTTTGAGTTAGTCATACTTTTCCCATTTCCAGAATACACATTTTATATCAAATCATCCCTTTCAAAGAATTGAATTCTCCTTCCTTTTTTTCTTTAGAGACAAGTCTTGCTCTGTTGCCCAGGCTGGATTGCAGTGGCATGATGTCAGCTCACTGCAACTTCTGCCTCCCGGGTTTAAGCAATTCTTGTGCCTCAGCCTCCTGATTAGCTGGTACTAAAACCTTGTGCCACCAAGCTTGGCTAATTTTTATTTTTATTTTTATTTTTTTCATTTATATTTATATTTATATTTTTATTTTTTTATTTTTTTTTGAGACGGAGTTTCGCTCTTGTTACCCAGGCTGGAGTGCAATGGCGCAGTCTCGGCTCACCGCAACCTCCGCCTCCTGGGTTCAGGCAATTCTCCTGCCTCAGCCTCCTGAGTAGCTGGGATTACAGGCACGCGCCACCGTGCCCAGCTAATTTTTTTGTATTTTTAGTAGAGACGGGGTTTCACCCTGTTGACCGGGATGGTCTCGATCTCTTGACCTCGTGATCCACCTGCCTCGGCCTCCCAAAGTGCTGGGATTACAGGTGTGAGCCACTGTGCCCGGCCCATTTTTAATTTTTATTGAGACAGGATTTCACCATGTTGGCCAGGCTGATCTTGAACCCTTGACTTCAAGTGATTCGCCCACCTTGGCCTCCCAAGGTGCTGGGATTACAGGCATGAGACACCACGCCCCGCCCAAGAGTTTTCCTTTCTGACTGGCATTGTTTCGGTTTTTATAAATAGTGTGCCCCTCTATTTGTAACCATTTTGTTTTAGAACTATCTCCTTGTATTTTGTGCTTTCCCTTTCCCAGTTATGATGTGAAAAAGACACTCATTTCTGTTTTGATTTAATGTCCCTGGAAATATCCTACCTGACTCTGTGACTATCTCCTTTAATAAGTCATCTAAAATATACTGTCTGGTTCTTTTATCTCAGTAAAATGGCTAGGAGTGGTATTTGGATCCTGAGACAATTCAGGGAAGTATCATGTGCACTGTTCAGGACTTCCTGACCGTTTTTATATGGTGGCACAGAGAAAACGATACAAGCAAAGTTGTGAGCAGATGAGGCTGCTCACAGCCAGGGGTGACTGAGAACCCTAGGCCTGAGAACCGCTCATTAGTTCTGTGTGCTGGTAACTCATACAACGCATGCAGGTGGTCCCTGCACACTGTTTGTGAAGCTCCTTTAGTATTGTAGAAAACCTAAGCCTTCAGCATCAGGCAGACTTGATTTTGTATTCTGACTCCACCACTTACTAACCATGTAGCTTTGGACAAATCATTTTAACTTCTCTGAAAGCTAAGTTCTTCAAGTGCAAATGAGGATGATAATACTTATCTTCTGGGGTTGTAGAAATTAGAAATAATGTGAGTCTAGTGCCTCCTCCATAGTAACGTGAAAGGAAATAAAAACTCAGGACCCTAATTCACTATGCCAAAAGTAAAAAAAAAAATTAAACTGAAAGCTGAGTCATGCAAGAAGCTGACTTTCCTTTCACTCCTAAGCAGGTAACTGCAGATAAAAGGTTAAAAATCTCCACAGGTGGCCAGGTGCAGTGGTTCACACCTATAATCCCAGGCCTCCTTTGTGAGGCCAAGGCAGGTCGATCACATGAGGTCAGGAGTTCAAGACCAGACTAGCCAACATGGCGAAATCTTGGCTCTACTAAAAATACAAAAAATAGAAATAAAACTTAGGTGGGTGTGGTGGCACACACTTGTAATTTCAGCTACTTGGGAGGAGGAGGCAGGAGAATCACTTGAACCCAGGAGGTGGAGGTTGCAGTGAATCAAGGTCACACCACTGCATTCCAGCCTGGGCCACAGAGTGAGACTCTGGCTAAAACAACAACAACAAAACAAACAAACAAACAAACAAAAAACCTCCACAGGTCACTCTTATTTTCACTTTATCTTACATAAAGTGCCGATTTCCTGAGAGCAAGGAAATACATGATTGACTATTCCCTTACCTGCTCCTTTTCCCTTACAACATGTGGATCACCATACTTTCTCTTTCTCCTCTGGCCTGCTTTTTCTCTAAATATTGAAGCCCTCAAATTGATCTTTGGAAAGAGGCACAGACAGACCACGTACTGTTTCTGTGATTCTGCGTTTTCTCCTTCCGGGCATGTCCTTAACCTTGGCAAAATAAACATCTAAATTAACTGAGACCTATCTCAGATACCCTTTGTTTTACAGAAAGAATTCATATGCTTACATAGTAACTATTACTTTTGGTTTCTTAGTGTGTTACCTGTATATTGTTGTACGCCTTTGTTTCTAATGATATTTATAAAGTATTGATGCCAGCTCTTTGGTATCTCATTTCGAGTTAGGAAATATAAAATTTTAACCTAAAACTTAGATGAAAGCTGGAGATAGATTTGGGGGAAGGATGGGGCCCATAGTAAAAGCATGAGTCAGAGTGGGTGGGGCTGTTGAAGGTTTCTGTAGACCACAGAGTGTAAGAACAAGGCTTTATAGTGTCATTTCCTTAGGTTTTACAGCTTGCTTCCTGAGAGGGCATTTGGGAAAGAGTCCCAAGGAAGGGGCCCCAAGAGAGATTCCAGAGAAACTTGTGTTCTGGAGCTGTTGCGGGTGAACAAATGGTGACGAGGATGATGACAGAATGCAAGAAAAGGAAGCCAGCATTGACCCAACACATGTACCGATCATTTGCTAACCCTCATATTCGATTTTACTTTCCAAAAACCTGTAGAACTGTGTCTCTCAACCAGGGGTAACTCGTCCCCTGGGGGACACTTGCCAATATCTAGAGACATGTTTGTTTTCACAGCTGGGCTCTAACGGGTAGAACCCAGGGAAGCTGCAGAACATCCTTCAATGCTCAGGGAAGGTCCTCACAGTAAGAATAATTTGGCCCAAAATGTCAGTAGTGCCGAAGCTGAAAAACTGTGCTTAAATGGTAGGAACAATAATATTCATTTTTACAGATTTGGAACCTGAAACTCTGAGAAGCCACCTGGCATTCAAACCTAAACTTAACACAGCTCCAAAGCCCATGATCTTTCACCATGCCATTCCAGTGAGAACAGGGATAGAAATGAGGAGGGCAAAAATGACCAAGATAAAAAACCAGGGCACAGATTGGTGCTCAATAGATCATTATTGGGATATTCATTGAATGGAAGAATGAATAAGTAAAAGAATGACTGATGGCAGGGGAATAATGAGGATGAGTGTGGTCATTCTATTGCCATCCTGACATACCTCCCTGTCCTGGTTCCACAACCCAAAAGTGAGTCCAAGATTATGATAATAGAGAAAAATTAAATGATGGTAGGTGCCCCGGAGCCCCCATGCTCAGTCTCAGGAGGAGTCCAGATTCTAGTGCCTGGGTCTCCAAGGAAGATTGCTGGTGCATGCTGTCTTCCATCACCCTTTTTCAGGAGGATAGGGACTGAGACAAGAGGTTCTGAGCTGAGTTTTGGTGACCATTTCCCTCTTTCTCCCAGAGACCCAGGCCAGCTGTGGCCTCAGAGGAAGAAGAAGGGAGTTGCTTCCCCAGTTTCTAAAATTTCTGTGAATTTGAACATGGGCTAAGCCAGATTTATTCTGGGAAGCTCTGAATCTTCTAGGAGAGAGCAATTGAGAGGAAAGAGGGTGGAAAGGGAGGAGCCTATGATAAAACAGAACATTTCTTTTCACTTCCTCTTTCAGACTCCAGAATTTGTTTGCCCTCTGGGGTAGAATCTACCAGGCTTGGAGAGAAGGCTGTGACTGCTGTGCTGTGGGTGCCGGCTCACTCCAGGAGGTGATGGAAATCCTGTCATTCTTACCTGTCCTTGCCAGTGAGAGTGACTGGGCTGACTGCAAGTCCCCCCAGACTTGGGGCCACATGCTTCTCTGGACAGCTGTGCTATTCCTAGGTGAGTCAGGGCCCCCAGGAGGGAGAGAGGAGCAGGAACCTCAGTTGGGGCTGAGCCTGGGCAAGGATGAGGGGTGGCATGGGAAGCCTGGCAGCACACCCAGGGGAGGGAAGGCAGGCTGGTGAAGATGAATCCCTGATAATCCTGCTGGCTTTTGCAAGGCATCCAATGTGGCAGAGTTTGGGGTTTTCTTCAGCGTCCTTTACCCAATCTCACTGAACACCCAGCCTTTTGACTTTCTGTTACTTCCCACATCAGAACCTGCTCTGAGGAAGATCTAGTAACCTACATTTGAATGACAAATGAATGGCCAGAGTGTTTGCCTTCTTTGAAATTTGTGTTTCATAAGAAACCAAATCTCAGGCAATAGGGCCAATGCCGCCTTAGCTAAAGGGTAGGGAGGAAGTTATAAGATGCATTTTTTGGAAGGAGGTGACAGTGGCCATTCTCTGTGCCCCTGAAACCACTTCATGCAGCAGAAGCCCATTGTCTTCATGTGTAAGGATATTCCCCTGGGCCGAAGCACAGGGAGATCTGGGTTATCCGGGGAACAGGGGCTCTGAGAATACACAAACATGGGTAAGTCCGGAGTCATCCGCTGCGGGACCAGAGAAATCATGCATGCTTCTTTTTACTACACAGACCATGAAGGGGAGCTCCTGAATCTGATCAGCAAGAAAGCCAGGGTCTTAGACCAACATAAAGGGCATTTTTCTGACCATGTTCTCAGCTGCTGGGCAGGGGACAGGGACTGATCATGCCGGATGGTTGGAAAAGCTTAGGGGAGGCCAGGTAGGGAGACCTACTGCCAGGACTCTCTCTCCAGGCTCAATTCCTGGGGCTTCCACCCTCACATCCCAGAGGACAGCATACTGTCACTTATCCAAGTCGTGTGCTATGCTTGCTAGTGAAATCTAATCAGCTCTGGGGGCCCTCGGCTCTTGGCTATCAATGCAGGATGATACTGTGCTACAGGAGGCAGACATCAGGAAGAGAGAGTATTCCCCTGTGAATGGGTTGGGATGGATTAAAGTAGAGGAGAAGGTAGAGTGAACTACCTCATTTTTCACATGGAGACGCCCAGGCATACAGAATTGATGCACTTCTCTGTCTCTGCTACTAGTGCCACCAATGTGCCAGGCACCTGGGCAAGACTCCTGGGAAGGATCTTTGGTATTTTCTTCCATTTCCCTTTTGCTAAGTCATCAAAGATTTACCCCATTTTTCTCCATTCTTATGGGGGCTTCCACATTTAGGTCTTCATCACTTGATACCTCAATGTTTATAGCACCCTCTGATGGAGTCTTGATTGCTCCCGTCTCCCCTCCCCTGTGCCCATGCTGCACAAGGAGGCCACAGCATCTTCAGGTCCAGCTATGGCTGTGTCAGTGCACTTCATACATGCCTTCCGTGCTGCTCCTTTGCCTACTGCAAAAACTCCAATTCTCCCCTGCTAACCGTGTTCCCCATTGCACTGCAAATGGATCTTCTACAGCCAGGCAGTACGTACACTGCATTTTCTGTATTTACCACCTTTGCTCCTGCTGATTCTCCAAATTCTATGTATAGGCACTGTTCTAGGACTTAGAGACTTATCAGTGAACATGACCGACAGCTTTCCTAACTGGAAGTACAGGTCAATGTACATATTGCTTCGGGTAGGAACATATTTGGTATTTATTACTATTTAATAAATGTGGAATGGATAAATAGTGACTTCTTTCTCCTTTCCTCATCATTTTCTTTCTCTCTCTCTCTCTCTTCCTCTTCCTCCTCTTCTTTCTGACCCTCTCTCCCACCACACCGCCCCTTTTGCCAAGCCTATGTACTCAGGTTTTTAGCTACCACTTCTATGCTAATAACTCCTAAGCCTATTTCTTTTGCTTGCTTCTGTCAAGCATAATTTTATATTTCCACTGATGATTGGGCACCTCTAAAATGATTCACCAGCCCCAAAGCAAAACATATTCAAAATCCAGCTTATCATGTCCTCCTTACAAATGCTTTTCTTCTCCTAGCATTTGTATTTGCTTAAGCGCAGCCACCCTTTTCCTAGTTATCCAACTTAAATCGCCCCCATACTCTATTAGATGCCAACTTCTCTCTGCCACTTAAACTTCTTTTGCATCTGTTTCCTCTTCTTCACTTCCTATTGCCAATACAACTTCGGGCTCTCTAATCTCCCACCAGTGAATGATTTCCAGAGCAATGGCAAATAAAATTAAATGGCTACTGCTCTCTTTCAATGTATATTCTACTGAGGGATATAAACAATAAGCAAGCAAACAAAAAGGCATAAGTACAAATTGAAAAGGGCTATGAAGATGTAAACAGTGTATTGTGATAAGAGTAGTTGTGGGAAGACAAGGGAGCAGCCTACTTTAAACAGAATGTTATGCAGAGTTTTCCGAGGTGGTAACATTTAAGCTGACGCTTTCAACATGGTAAGAATTTAGCCGTTTGATGATCAGAGACACATTTCAGGCTAAAGGAATTGGCATACAGAAAAGCCCCAAATTTGAACAATGTCAGGAGGGCCATCGTTAATGGAGCTCAATGAGTAGCGGAAGAGGGATCTGAGGTGAGCCTGGAGAGGTGAGCACGGACCCCATCGGGTAGGGCTTGTAGGCCATTTCCATTTTATTTTAAGAGCAAAGAAAGGCAACTAGAGGCTTGTAAGTCAGGGAGTGACATCATCTGTTTCTTTCTTTCTTTCTTTCTTTTTTTAAAGAACTAACTTCTTTGTGGAAAAGGGATTGTAGGGGGAACTTAAGAAGTGAGGGGACAAATTGAGACATGGGAAAAAGCTAATGGTGACCTAAACTGAGTCATCATGGCTATAATGGGGGTGAAGAGAAGTTAGTGGGTTCAAGGTCTAAGTTGGAAGGAGAATCATCAAGAATTTCTGGTGTGGAAGGGGCTGGTTTTGGGTAGACACGTTGAAAGATGGCTTGCAGGTTTCTGGCCTGTGCAGCTGGGTAGATAGTGAAGATAGACACTGACATGCGGAAGACTGGGAGAGAAACAGGATGTGTCCAGTTGATTTGACAACACAAAGCCATTGGCAACTTTGACAAGAAAAGTTCTAGTGGACTGCTGAGGGCTGGGTCCATACTGTAGAGAATTAGACAGTGAATGGGAGGAGAAGAAATGAGGACAGCCTGTGTAAGAAAAACAATGAAGAAGTTTAGTTGTGAAAGAGACGAGAGAGGTCGGGCACAATGGCTCAAGCCTGTAATCCCAGCACTTTGGGAGGCCAAGGTGGGTGGATCACTTGAGGTCAGGAGTTCAAGACCAGCTTGGCCACCATGGTGAAACACCATCTCTACTAAAAATACAAAAATTAGCTGGGCGTGGTGGTGCACGCCTGTAATCCCAGCTGCTCGGGAGGCTGAGGCAGGAGAGTCACTTGAACCTAGGAGGTGGAAGTTGCAGTCAGTTGAGATCATTTCACTGCACTCCAGCCTGGGTGACAGAGTGAGACTTCATCTTAAAAAAAAAAAAAAAAAAAAAAAAAAGAACAAGAGAAACGGAGCAGTAGCTGGAATTGTCAAGGAACAGTTTTTTTGTTTTTAATGGAAGATACTGAAATAAATTTACCATTGATGGGAAGATCCAGCTAAGAGGAAGTAACTGGTGATACAGAAGAGAAAGTAAATAACAGAGAAATCCTTGAGAGGATTAAAGGGAATGGGATCAGAGTACTTGTGCTGAGACTGACCGTAGACAGGAGGAGAGAGACTTTCTCCAATGAAATGCAAGGAAGGAGAGGACAGGAAGAGATGCAGTAGACTGGTAGATTTAGTCAGGGGATGACATGAGATCTTCCATGTAACCTCTTTTGTTTTCTCTGTGAAATATGAGGAAAGGCAAAAAGCTAAAAATGAGAGGGGACTGGAGGCAGAGGGTGGGATGGGAAAGTTTGGGGAATGAGGAAAAGATGAATGTCACTACTCAGAGTAGCAGAGCAAATTTCTTGGAGGAAAGTGCCACAATGGCAGCTCTGTGTCCTTTCGAATGCCGTGATCGTAAATTTACTGCGTCAACAATTTGCCTTCTTGTATGGTAATCTCAGTAACACGCAGCTGAGCAAGTAAAGGCATGGAGAGTACAGGTGCATTTGGTGGAGACAGAGAAAGGCAAGGAGGTTAAGGAGATTAGCATAGAGGTAATTATAATGATGCCTCATTGAACTCAAGCTAGATAGGGGTGGGTGGGAAGTGCAGGCAAACATGGGCTCAAGGACAGACAGTGGCAAGACGGATGCTTTGGGGTTCTTGATAAGGTCAAAGATTATTCAGGGAGCTGTACTTGAGAAGAGAACGTTCATCTCCAAAGAAAGTAAATTTACTAATTACGAGTAGTTCAAGTTATGAAGAGGCCAGATGTTTGACAGGTTATCCACATATTCTGGATCACTGCAGACATCTCTCTTTTTTTTTTTTCTTTTTCTCTGACCTCATTCTTCCATCACAATTAGTTTCTTTCTTAATTAATCTCTTTGGCATTTACCCTGTTCCAATGTATTTGGCACTGCACTTTCAGCTCCAGTTTGAAAATTCTAAGTGACTTGCCAATGTATACTGAACCAAGTAGTGAACTTATAAAATATTAAATGTATTTGAAATTCACCATGTGCCATTTGGCTCACTAAATACCTAATCTGTATTATCTCATTTAATCCTTACAACAAGCCTATGAAATCGATGCTGCTGTCATTATTTTCATTTACAAGCAAGAAAACTGAAGCAGAGAAAAAGTTAAGTAATTTGTGAAAGGTCACTTAGCAGTAATGTCACAAAACAGGTGGATGGGGGTGTCATATAATTTTATTTCATTTTCGTATGCGACTGGGAAGGCGTTCTCGGTTCTTCTGAAAGTGCAGCTCATCCAGGAAGTCGCAGGGGATATGGGGTGAGGGCTGTGCTGTAAGTGAAGGGTGCCCTGGGCCTGGGCAGTCTCTGGGCCAAAGTGGGGGTGGGTGTCAGTGCAGACGCTCCACTGTGGGCTGATCTTTGCTTTCTGTCTTACAGCTCCTGTTGCTGGGACACCTGGTAAGTACTCGACCCACAGCCTCTCCTTCCCCCAGCCCCACTTTTCCTCTCCTCCCAGTGCCCTGTCTGGAGGTGCTCTAAATGCACCAGCAACGGAGCCCAGTACCAAGTCAGGGTCAGGAAAAGGCAATTGCTCCTGAAAGATCTCCTGTTCCCTCTTCTGTTTTCCTCCTTCCTTTCCCTCCTTCCATGGGGGCAAGTGGTAGGTAGCCATGGGGGAGCTGTCCCAGAAAATGAGAACTCTGACCCCTCTCTCAACTGCCTACTGCTGTCCAAATAAAACCAAGAGCTTCCTCTCCCCAAATAAAATTCAGGCACATGCAAAATCACATGGCCTTCGTATGTTGTCCCTGTGTTGCTAAATCCTTGACTGTACGTGTCTCTGAGAGCTTCAAGACCTGTTCCCTGGCAGAGAGCGGTCTCTGCATACCTCTGCTACACTTTGTTGGGCACTTCTGTTTGTGCCACTCAGCCTCCATGACCCCAGGACTGGCCCTCCAGCTTATCTCCCTCTCTCTCTATCCTTCTGAGGCCAGAGGGGCTCAACTATGCTTGGGTGTGAGGACAGACCATCTTGACCTCTTTTTAAAAGGAAACAGAATGACATTCGGTCAGAACAGAAACCTAATATCTGACTCCCATGCCTGCCATCTCCACCAGACCCCCCACTGATCTTGAGCCAGCCCAGGAGAAAACTTACCCGCTAGTATCCAAATGCTTGTGTTTATCAGGGAGAAAAGGTAGTCTCAAAAGAGTATGTATGCATGGGGTGTCTGTGTGTGTGGTGGTGGGGGGAGGTTGGTGGGGAGAGAGCAGGAACTGGTGAGGATACCTCTTGGTGAAGTCTGTGTGTTTCTAGGGTGTTTCTCTTGCCCGCTCCCTGCCTCTTCCCTGTTGCCCATTCTGAGTCCCTGGGTGGTGGGATGTATGCAAAAGCAGCTGCCTTCAGTTGCAGAACCATTCTGGACCTGACTCAGGTTTTGGTGCCCATAGTAGGACCACAGGTGCTTCTTTGAGATTCAGAGCCTGCTCAGGCTCTTGGGCTCCCTGTTCCTCATGCTACCTCCTCTCTCTGCCTCTCAGCCGCTTCCCCGAAGGCTGTGCTGAAGCTCGAGCCCCCCTGGATCAACGTGCTCCAGGAGGACTCGGTGACTCTGACGTGCCAGGGGGCTCACAGCCCTGAGAGCGACTCCACTCAGTGGTTCCACAATGGGAATCTCATCTCCACCCAAAAGCAGCCCAGCTATACCTTCAAGGCCAACAACAATGACAGCGGGGAATACAGGTGCCAGACCGGCCGGACCAGCCTCAGCGACCCCGTGCATCTGACTGTGCTTTCCGGTCAGTGGAGGAAGGTCCTGGGGTGGACCTGGGAGGGCCAGGATGGTTGAAATCTGTTTATAGGCAGAGGTTTACAGGAAACGGGGGTGGCCTGCTTCGTGGGAAGCATTGCTATGAGTTGCTCACGTGCTTCCCATTTCTCCCTCCTCCTTTGCTTAGCATGCATTCTGGGGGTGCATATTCCTCAACATTTCCTTAGCAAATATCAGTGGTGGTTTCTGCCTCAGTCCTGATTGACCAGAAGACGGTTACAAGGCCACAGACAGGCAGCCAAGTGTGAGCGAAGCAGAAGGAAATCCCTACTGCATAAAGCCCATTTCCATTTTAATGGCAGAATTGAAAAGCACAAACAGACCACCACTGAATCCTAGCCCTGGAACTGACTCACTACACAAACCTGATGAATTCATTTAGCCCTTGCGTTTCTGTTTCCTCACCTGCTCCTTGGGGCACAAACACCTCACGTTTCCCTGCCCCAGGGAACTCCCACCCTCCATACCCCTTCTCTACGTTCTGAAGGTGCTGGGGTGCTCTTCTCTTTCTCTTCCACCAGCCTGTGGGCAACTGAGGTGAAAGTTCTGTCTTATCCATCTTTGTATTTCCAGCACCTGAAACTGGGCAGGGCTTAATAAATATTTTGCTGGAGACGTTGAGGATCTTACAAAGCCCCCAGTGAAAAGTGGCTCTCTGTAAAGCAAAGTTACAATGAGATGATGCTGAACATTTTCCTTGTTACTTTTCACTTAGTCCTCTCCCTTCACCTGAATAGCAAATTTTCTTCAAAAGTACACAGCAGACGAATGACCCATTGGTGCCACTGCTGCCTTTAGACAAAGACCCCGCTAGAGAGAAGCTCCACATTTATGAATATTCCCCAAGTGAATTTATCAAGTAGCATTCATCAGGTAACATTTGCTGCAGGTTCATGACTGTACTGTCCACAAAGGCATATGTCATCCTGATATGCAGTCTCCTGGTCAGATGGGATTTCTCCTTCCCTCCCTGACATGGAAAATATGGCATCTTAGGGTCTCTCATGTTCTTCCTGCAGAGCCTGCTGGGCAGGACAGGCCTGCAGCTGCCTTCCTGGGAGAAGGAGGAAATGAGTATGTCCTGAACACCTATTATGTGCTAGGGGCTGTTGTAGATATATGACATTATTGTGTTTTCACAAATGAGGAAACTGAGGCTCAGAAGACTTAAATTATTTGCCCAAGATTACAGAGTTCATAAATGACAGAGCCAGCACTAGAGTCCAGGACTGTCTGATTTCAAACCCAAGCTGTTCCCTCTGCCTATCATGTCCCACCAGTGAGGAAGGTCTCGGTCTCAGAGCTAAGCGAAGACCTCCTGAGTCCTCTAGGTTTTTTTTCCATCTTTCAGAGTGGTTGGCGATCCAGACCCCTAGGCTGGAGTTCCACGAGGGAGAAACCATCATGCTGAGGTGCCACAGTTGGAAAGACAAGCCTCTGGTCAAAGTTACATTCTTCCAGAATGGAAAATCCAAGAAATTTTCCCGTTTGGACACAAGCTTTGCCATCCCACAAGCAAACCACAGTCACAGTGGTGATTACCACTGCACAGGAAGCGTAGGCCACACGCTGCGCTCTTCCAAGCCTGTGACCATCACTGTCCAAGGTATGGGGAGTCTGCCAAGATGTAGGGAGAGAGAGGAGGGGCTGGACAAGGGCTACGGTCACATGGGCCTACATGGAGACCTGACAAAGGCCACAGCAGCAAAATTGGGTCCTGGAGCAAAGAGGAGAGTTGTGGAGACCCGGCTAAGTATTGGCCAATGAGCGGGAGTAAGGGCCGGAGCTTGGAGCCCTCAGGTTTCAAGTAATAGGTGGCCAGGCTGTTGTTCCACTTTGAAATGCAGACCCCAGACTAAAGATGGCAGCGGAGCAGAGTTCCCTCATTGATGCAGAGGGGCCCTAAGCTCCTGGGCATTCTTAAGAGCTGAGGTTCCCCTCGTTCCTCCTCATGACTCATGGTATAGCCACTCGCTCCAGAAGGCCTGGCACGTCATGGACTGTTCAGGGCTGTGCTCCATAGAGTAATGATGCCTCCAGCTATGGGAAGCTATGGGGCCACCCTCCCCACTGCCCCGGAGGGCTAAGGGGAACTCTTCTCTCTGCTCCTGCATGCTCACCAGCGCACTTTTATTAGTTTGGTGGAGAAACCTGGGTAGGGAGGAAGCACAAGTCCAGCCACAGAAACCCTGTGCAGGTGCAGCTCAGGATGTGGTGAGTCTTGCATTGGTGAGTGACTCAGACACAGAAGAGCTTTGGGTGACAAGCACTGGGGGAGGAGGAAGGTGGGACAAGGAGAGTACTGCCAGTCCTAAGTACTCTCTGCCCGTCCTGTCTTCCCTAGTGCCCAGCACGAGCTCTCCGTGGATGGGGATCATTGTGGCCGTGGTCGCCGGGATTGCTGTAGCGGCCATTGTTGCTACTGCAGTGGCCTTGATCTACTGCAGGAAAAAGCGGATTTCAGGTTTGTAGCTCCTCCTGGTCCCTTTCGTTATCAGTTTCCACTTGGCCCAGGCCCTAAACCCAAACATTTCCAGAACCCCTCTTTTTGGGCTAGATGTGCATTCAGATCTAGGCCCATATTGTATTATAGTTATTCATTCATTTATCAGGTCATTCATTTGACAAGACTTGAACTGGCTTATGTGTCAGCCAATGTGTGAGACATGGTGGGTGATGCCAAGATGAAGTCCAGTCCCTGCTCTCGGGGAGTTCTCAGCATTGTGAGGAAGACAGAAGTACACCTAGGCCATTGTAATAAGATGGGATAAGAGCAATGATAGGGATATGAAAAGCCTCGGATAGGAGTACAGAAGGGGTTTCATAGCCCAGCAAGGGCTGAGGCAGTTGAAGAAGGTCTTGCGGGGAGCAGTGTAGCGTGGTGATGGAGTGTGCATGTAGTGGGGCCGGACTGCCTGGTTCAAATCTAGTTCCACGGTGTACCAGCTATATGACCCAGGTGAGCCTCTCCACCTCTCTGTGCCTCAGTTGTCTCATGTGGAAACTGGGGACACTAACAGGACTCACCTCACAGGGTTGCCATGGGGATGAATGAGGCTGATGCTGTTACACCAGTGCCTGGCAGGCAGTAACAGCGCACAAACAGGAGCTGTGGCCATTATGGAGGAGGTGGTGTGAGAGGGCAGCGCTTAGCTAGGAAGGAGGACTCTCTAGGCATGGGGCCAAGGCAGGGACTCAGGCTGGGTGGGGCTCATGTGGGGGTCGAGAGGGGAGGTGAGAGGGTGCTGCAAGCTGCTGAGAAAGAGAAATAATCCCACTAACATCTCACAAAGCACTTTGCAATTGGTTCATAGCCAGGACCTCAGTTATTGATGATAAGTAAATACAGAGAACTAGAGAGAGACTGAGACACAGGGGTGTTTTTTGTTTTGTTTTTTTTTTTAAGACGGGATTTCACCATGTTGGTCAGGCTGGTCTTGAACTCCTGACCTCAGGTGATCCGCCCGCCTTGGCCTCCAAAGTGCTTGGATTACAAGCGTGAGCCACCACGCCCGGCCGACACAGGGGTGTTTTTAAAAGGCAGAGCAAGCCTCAGACAGATGCCATGGAGTGGCCTTTCTCACACTCCTGGGTGTCCCCATGGATGAGCTGAATTCTGTTTCCATACCAGCCCTTTTCCAGGTGGGAGCAGTCCCTGAGCAGGGGAGCTGGGGGTGGGAGGACAGGGGCATCTGCCGGAGGGAAGGCCTCAGCTGGTCCCATCTAATCCTGGCCTGGGTCATTGGTCCTGAGGACTCAGGCCCCACCCCATAACCTTACTAACTTCCTATGTGCCCCTCCCAGCTCTCCCAGGAAACCCTGAGCGCAGGGAAATGGGAGGGACCCTCCCTGAGAAACCAGGTGAGTACAGCGTTGTCTCAGGGATTTGGTGATGCCTCACCAGGGCTGCTGGCTGGACTGGAACCAGCAAGAAAGCACTTGTGTGAGTTCAGCTGGGAGCTGGGGAGGGCGCAGCGGTGTGGGGTTGGCCGGGGGCTCAAATCACTTGGTCAGCTCTGAGTCAAACTCCCGGGTCTGAGGAGGACCTCAGTGGAGATGAGAAGAGAAACACCAGTCTCAGATACAGAGGAGAGGGCTATGTCCAAATTTCTGGGGATATTCCAGAGCAGGAAATCAGAGATACTTTGGTCTTTCCGTGGAGCTTTGGCAGACCTGGAAAAGGAGAGGGCTAGGGGCTATAAACCTGAGACCAATCGGATGTGGGAGGCAGGAGTCTAAGGAGGAAAAGGAGGGGCCTGGAAACCCTTCCATTTGCTGAGGAATCTGCCTCTGTGGAGGGATGGGGCGGAGTGGCCAGGCTCGGCTCTCCTGGAACACTAAGAGGAGACTTGGGCTTGAGAAAATTCTGGGGGATTAGGAGCACTAGTGGGCTCTATCCTGCAGGCAAAGCTCAGTTCTGATGCCCATGCACTCAAGGTTGATTGAATTTTGGCCTGGTTCTGCCCCCCTCACACAGTGGAGCCTTGAGCAAGATAGTCTCCCTGATGGGGTTCAGTCCTCACTGGGGAAATGAGTGGGTGTCCGGGGTGACCTCTCAGCCCTTCTAGATCTGACATTCTGAGAGCCAGGGGCCATCGAAGCCCTGGCCCGGGTGGGAGTGTGTAAAGGAACAGGAGGATGCCGGGCAACTTCCAGACTGTGGTTAAAGTCAGAGCACAAAGGACACTGGGGCTTTCTCTGGGAGCCTCCAGGACAGTAGGAACAGGCAGAAAAAAGAGGTCCTGAAAGACCCCAACTCAGATGGCTGGAGTATGACTCAGAGCAGAGCCAACAGATTTGAGAGCTTGAGCAAAATAGCATTCTTCCAGCTGTGCTTTCAGCAGGGTCACATGTCCGCTGGCCTGGCCCAGAACGGATACCAGCCTGCGTTCACACCAGGGCCAAAGCAGATGTGGAAAAAAAAAGAAGTCCAAGCAACTGGATTAGCCGCCTTGATGTGCAGTTCTGTCTATACTAACAGAAGCACATTTCACAAGGCATTTATGCAGCTAGGTACCGGGGGCTGATGATTTCCCAAAAGACAGAGCTGGGTTGCTGGGATTTGCGGGGAATGTATTAGAATGGGAATTCAGAATGTGGTTTGCTGCAGAATTTAGAGCATGGCAATAAATGCTCTCTGTGTTCAAGGGGTGAGAGAAGAGACTAGATGCATTGTCTCAGACTCCTCCCAGCTTCCTGAGAAATGTGGCTTACAGACACTGAGGCTGCTTTTCACGCTGGCTAAGTCAGTTCACAGCAAAATATGAGGGGATTCTGTGTGTTTCAGACACTAACCAGAGAAAGTCCGTCCTTTCTTTCTTCCTCCCTCCCTCCCTCCCTTTCTCCCTTTCTCCCTTTATCACTCACTCTCTCTTCCTTTTTAATGCCACAGAGTACCAAATTTTTCAAGTTCCAACAAAGATGCACTACATTTAGTGGAAATGACCCTCAGCCTTCTCTCCCTGATGTGGTCAGCAAAAATCTGGACTTTACTTCACTCTGATCCTGAACACCAGGCACCCTCCTCCCCACCCCCACCCCCAGCCTCTTCCCTAATATCTCAGATCCCAAAGCTTCCTGGTTTGCTTCTAGGAAAGCTCAGCAATTCCATGAAAAGGATGTGGCCCAAGTGACGGCTTCACTTTCTCAGCGTGGCCTGTGGGGAAGTCTGTGGCTGGGCTACCCCAAGTGTGGCTCCGTGAGGCCGTATTTGCCCAGGGCTTGGCCTTGAGGCCCGAGACAGGTCGTAATGCTTGCTTTGGCTCTAGTTTGGGTGCTGGTTTTGCAGCCTCAGCATCAGCACAGGCAGGCCCTCTTCTCCAGGAGTGCTCTGGCTGACATTTCTTCTTTTTGCCCACAGCCAATCCTGCTCATCCTGACGAGGCTAACAAAGCTGGGGTAAGTAATCCCAGCCATCTCCCCCTCTCACCTCCCTTGTTGCCTTTTCTATTGCCTTCTTTCCTAGGCCCTCTCTGTGGATCCTCACTGCTGGTTTCTTCCTTCTCTAGGCTGAGAACACAATCACCTACTCACTTCTCATGCACCCAGATGCTCCGGAAGAATTAATAGAGCCCGATGACCCGAACCGTATTTAGTCTCCATTGTCTTGCCCTGGGATTTGAGAAGAAAATCAGAGAGGGAAAGATCTGGTATTTCCTGGCCTAAATTCGCCTTGGGGAGGACGAAGAGATGCTGCCATTCCAAAAGAGAAGAACTCTTCCAGAGTCGTCTACCTGAGTCCCGAAGCTCCCTGTCCTGAAAGTCACAGACAATACGGTCCCAGATGACCAACTGCACCTTCTGTGCCTCAGCCCTTCTTCACATCAAGACTTTTCTGTTCCACATCCACATAGCCAATACAATTAATCAAACCACTGCTATTAACAGATTGTAGCAACATGGGAAATGCTTACGTTACAGGTTACATTAGAACAATTATGAAAATCTATATGATTTCAGAAATGTTAAAACAGACTAACCTCTACCAACAGATTAAAAATGATTGTTTCTGGGTGATAAAATTATTGATGATTTTTATTTTATTTTTCTATAAAGATTGTGTATTACTTTTATAATAAAACATTATAAAAACAACATTCTGCTTACTTCTCAAGACTGTATTGGTTGGAGTGTAGACTGTATTGGTTGGAGTGTAGACTGTATTGGTTGGAGTGTAGACTGTACTGGTTGGGGTGTAGACTGTATTGGTTGAGGTGTAGACTGTATTGGTTGGAGTGTAGACTATATTGGTTGGAGTGTAGACTGTATTGGTTGGAGTGTAGACTGTACTGGTTGGGGTGTAGACTGTATTGGTTGAGGTGTAGACTGTACTGGTTGGAGTGTAGACTGTATTGGTTGGAGTGCAGACTGAACTGCCTGGGCTCTGTTTCTCTTCAGTGATGAGACTCTTAGGAAGGCAGGAATGGATAAGATGTGAGGGAGAGGAGAGATGGGGATTTGGAGTGTAGGGTGCCCCTCTTCTTAAAACTGAATACAGTCATGCACTGCATAATGATGTCGATTCAACAACAGACTGCATATACGATGGTGGTCCTGTAAGATTATAATATCATATTTCTACTGTACCTTTTCTGTTCATATGTTTAGATATGTGAGTATTTACCATTGTGTTACATTACCTACGGTATTAGGTACAGTAGCATGCTGTACAGGTTTGTAGCCCAGGAGCAATAGGCTATACCATACAGCCTAGGTGTGTAGTAGGCTACACCATTTAGGTTTGTGTAAGTACATGCTATGATGTTCACATGACAAAATTGCCTGCATTTCTCAAAATGTATCCCCGCATTTCAACAATGCACGATTATACCCTTCTGCCAATGACCTTGTAATCTTGTTTCCACGTCTTCTTCTCTTTCCTCCTATGGCAAATAAAACACTGTTTTGCAACACAAGTTCACAGGAAGGTAAACTTCAGAAGAGCCCTAGGTGGAGACTGCTGACATGTCCTGCTCTGCTGTTCTCCCAGTGTAGTTACCAGAGGATGTGACCTTCTCAGAGAGGTCACCTCAGGCAGATTAGAAACATGACTGGCAGTCTCCTTGAGGGTTTGGTGAGTGCCCTTGAAGAGGCTTCATTTTCCTGGGACTCTAACACAGTATCGTTGTGCAACATTTGTCTTGCATTCAGGACTCAGCCACTTTCTTTGCTGGGTAGTTTCCATGGATTTCTATGATACTCACTTTTTCTGGTCCCACAGTCAGTTTTCACATGTACACATTGTTATAGTAGTAAGGGATAGTAATTAAAATTACTGAGTTATTAATGGCTTACTTTGTGCCAAACTATGTGCTTTGGAATTTAAAGAATTTAAGATTATTAGACTTTTATATTTCCTCTTTTGTGAGTTTCCTATGTATTTATTCTTTACCCATTTTCATAGATACAATGCATGTCCCTTTATTTATGAATTACATTGTAGTGACATTTCTTTTTATTTATATGTGAATTATTCACTACACTAATAATATACTCTTCTTATAAAATTAAGATACATATAGGCAAAATGAAACAATTAGATCCCCATAAATCCACAAATGCTAATAATTAATGATAATATTTAAGGATATCAATCCACATTCCTGTCTGGTGGCAGGTGTGTATTTGTGTTTTAAAAACTGGATCATGTCATATATTTTTACATGTTCATAAATACACTCAGGCAAAAGTATATGCTCATTGTCAGCAAGTAAGCCCAAATAATACAGAAAGATAAGGAGGAAAAAGTAGAGGTTCCATTTTGTCATCAGTCCCTTCTATCCTATTCCCTTTTCTTTCTTTCTTTCTTTCTTTTCTTTTCTTTTTTTTTTTTTTCTTTTAAGAGATAGGGTTATAGCCCAGGCTAGAGAGCAGTGGCAGGGTTATGGCTCACTGCAGCCTCAAACTCCTGGGCTCAGGTGATCTTCCCCCGATACCTGGCTAATTTTTAAACATTTTTTGGTTTGGCACAGTGGCTCACGCCTGTAATCTTAACACTTTGGGAAGCCAAGGTGGGTGGATCACCTAAGGAGTTCAAGATCAGCTTGGCCAACATAGTAAAACCCCATCTCTACTAAAAATACAAAAATTAGCCAGGCATGGTGGCTCACAACTGTAGTTCCAGCTACTTGGGAGGCTGAGGCATGAGAATCACTTGAATCTGGGAGGCAAAGGTTGCAGTGAGCCGAGATCATGCCACTGCACTCCAGCCTGGGCAACAGAGTGAGACTTGGTCTCAAAAAAAAATTTTTTGTGTGTGTGTATAGAGACAGGGTTTTGCTGTGTTGCCTAGGCTGATCTCAAACTCTGAGCCTCAAGTGATCCCCCCACTTAGCCTCCCAAGGTGGTGGGATTACCGGTGTGAGCCGCTGTGCCTGGCCTTGACATGCTATTTGAAGTCTGAAACTTGACTCCTGATCCCCAGGGTCAGTTTCTTTACTAATAGTTTTTCAATAAGCCTAGCCATTTAGATAGTTGGCTTGATTATGTAGCCAGAGGGGGCATAGAAATCTCTCTGTGAACCTCTGCTTTGAGCTTTCCCATACCCAAGATTCCTTACATGGATCTTGGTGGTTCAGCCTAGACCAAAAGTGCAAATAAGGTACAGTGACTATAAGGATGCTGGGGAGCTTGCACGTGGCATCTCTTGGACTCCCAATAATTGCCTAGACTCTCTTTCTCTTGCTATACTTTTAAATAAGCACTTTGTGTGAGCAAGCTCTGCAGAGTTTGATGAGTTCTTTCAAATATCCTCTTCAGTAAGGACATACCTGACTACCCTTCCCACACTTATTACTCTGCTCTTATTTCCTTCATGGCATCTATCACTATATGTAATTATCTTATGCATTTTTTTGCTTAAATATTTACTTACATGTTCTAAAATGTAAGCTCACTGTGGGCAGGGTGTTTCTATTATTCACTGGTGTATTCCAGAGACTAGAACATGCAATCACTATTACTGAATGAGTTAATGAATGAAACTTTTACTGTTTCTGGGTTATGTGACATGCGTAGGAAGGTCTTCATCCTAAGAGTCCAAAAAGATAATCCTATGTTTATTAATTTCCCTTGAAATCTTATTATCTTTATCTAAAACTCTTAAGTGCTTTGGATTTGTTGTAAGGTGAGAACCTAACATAATTTTTTCCACATGAAAGTCAGTTGTCTCAATACCCTTTGTTGAATAGTTTAAATGATTTGAAATCCTAAGTTTTCCCTAAATTCCCACTTATAGGTCTATTTTTGGCGCTCTTCTGTTATACTGTTCTGTTTGTCTGTTTCTGCATCAATACCACATTTTTAGTTATTGCAACTTTATAGTGTACTTTGATATACAGAAGGTCAAGTTTTCTCTTATTCTGTTTTTTTGTTGTTTTTGTTTTTTTTTTTGAGACGGAGTTTCGCTCTTGTTACCTAGGCTGGAGTGCAATGGCGCGATCTCGGCTCACCGCAACCTCCGCCTCCTGGGTTCAGGCAATTCTCCTGCTTCAGCCTCCTGAGTAGCTGGGATTACAGGCACGCGCCACCATGCCCAGCTAATTTTTTGTATTTTAGTAGAGATGGGGTTTCACCATGTTTACCATGATGGTCTCGATCTCTTGACCTCGTGATCCACCCGCCTCAGCCTCCCAAAGTGCTGGGATTACAGGCTTGAGCCACCGCGCCCGGCCAGTTTTCTCTTATTCTTTTGCTTCAAGGTTTTCTTGGCTATTACTGTGCTGCTTCTCTTCCAGATATACTTAAGAATTCCATAATACCATTAAGATATTGGTAGAATTGCATTGCATTTAAAGATTATTTGGGTAAGGTTTGACATCTGAGTCATATTGAGGCTTCCCAAGTTACAACTCTTTGTTCATTTACTTTTAGAATTCTCCTATACTATCATATGAGCTTGGTACCTTTTTTGTGATAGATCTTTTTTTTTTTTGAGACGGAGTTTCGCTCTTGTTACCCAGGCTGGAGTGCAATGGCGCGATCTCGGCTCACCGCAACCTCTGTCTCCTGGGTTCAAGCAATTCTCCTGCCTCAGCCTCCCGAGTAGCTGGGACTACAGGCGTGCACCACCATGCCCAGCTAATTTTTGTATTTTTAGTAGAGACGGGGTTTCACCATGTTGACCAGGATGGTCTCGATCTCTCGACCTCGTGAGCCACCCGCCTCGGCCTCCCAAAGTGCTGGGATTACAGGCTTGAGCCACCGCGCCCAGCACTGTGATAGATCTTTAACAAACTTTTTTTTCTTGTCATTTTTGGTCAGGTTAGGATTTTCTATCTCTCTTGGGAGTCAATTGTGAAAACTTTTGCTTTCCTGGGAATCATCCATTTTATTGGTATGCAGAGGTACATTGTACTTTTCCCCTATTTTTTGATAATGAGTTGTGTGTTGTTTGTATTTACATCCCTCCTCTCATTCCCAGGTTTTGGGTTTTCTTTCTTTTATCAGTTAGGATGACTTCAGTTGGAAATAACAGGAAATTGTGATTCAAACTGGCATAAACATTAAGGAAATGTATTATCTCACATAACAAAAAGTTCAGAGACAGTTTCTAGCAAATTCAAACTCTTGGTCCATTCTTCTACAATTCTGTGAGCACTGCCCTTGAGCTAGCAGCAAGATGATTACAGTGATTCTAAGCAACATCATACCCAGACCTCTGTAGAAAAAAAGGGACTAACCATCTCTTTTATGTGTCTTTTTTTTTTTTTTTTTTTTGAGACAGAGTCTCACTCTGTCACCCAGGCTGGAGTGCAGTGGCGCGATCTCAGCTCACTGCAACCTCTGCCTTCTGGGTTCAAGCAATTCTCCTGCCTCAGCCTCCTGAGTAGCTGGGTTTACAGGCATGTGCCACCAAGCCCAGATAATTTTTCTATGTTTTAGTAGAGACAGGATTTCATCATGTTGACCAGGCTGGTCTCAAACTCCTGACCTTAGGTTATCTACCCATCTCAGCCTCCCAAAGTGCTGGGATTATGGCATGAGCCACTGTGCCTGGCCTGTATCTCTTTGACAATGAGGAAAGTTTTCTCAGAAGTTCTGCAATCATGTTCCCATCATATCGTATTGGTCAGGACTGGGTCATGTGCTCATTC